ATATTATTAGCTACGTTAGATAATAGGAAGTTAGTAAATATTACTTAAGGGTTAATAATAAATAAGTCCGATATAATACTTTTTTTTATAATCTCTTATTTATTTAATTTATAGGATATTCGTATTGTAAAGAGCTTTTTAAGTATTAGTAGTACCTTTGCTTTTTATATAAAGATTAAGGGGAATTTTTAAGAAATACGGTTTTTTAAAAATATTAGTTATATAGGGAGCTTTTTAATAGCTTATTTAGTAGCTCTTTTAATATTAAGAAGAATAAAAAGAAGTTAGCGGAGGGTAGTATATTTTATATAATTATTACTAAAGGTATAAAAGAAAAGGCTAAGCCCGAGCTCGAAGTCCGATAGCTAGATAAATTTATTTTAGTAATAAGAAATTAATTTTAAAATATCGTCGTTAGGTTTTTAAAACCTTTATATTATACGCTTTTTTAGAAGCGGGCTAGTATAGATAGTAATATAGTCCTCTATAAGAGGGAAAGTATTGTCCTTATTGTTAGTCTTATTAAAGGGCCGGGTTTTTAAGCTATTAATATCGTTTTTAAAAATGCGATTATTATATACCTTAGTAGCGTTAGCTTTTTTTTTATCGAATTTAGCTAGTAAATTACTATTAGCCCTAGCTTTATTGACTTTATTAGGGTTAATATTATTAAGATTAATCGCGCTACTTAGATTATAGTTAGTTATATCTTAATTATCCTTATTAAAATACGAGCTTATTTATAGTATATATAGAATTAGTATTAGATACGTTACCCTTATCCTCTATATTATTTATTATATTATTATTATTTATTTTAGTATCTATTTAATAGCTAATGTTAGCTTCTGTTTTTATATTAATATTATTATCGTCGTTTTGTAATTAAGAAACTGGTTAGTTAATGTTTAATTAAGATACCTCGCCGGCGCTAAGCTAAGGGGCTTTTTAATAGTAACTTAGGGTAATATTATCCGTAAGTATATTAGTAAGAAGCTTTTTATATTTACTTATCGTTGCGGTAAGTTAAGGTATTTTATATATTTATATTATTTTTTTAATAATAGATTTGATACGTTAGGTTAGCGAGATACTTATAATAAGTATTAGAAAAGTAGAAGTTAAGAGGTTAGGTAGTTAATTAGCGGAAAAAGGTTATAAAAGTGGGGTTATATAACTCTTACCGAGCTAACCGGGCCCTTACTAAGCTAGTATACTTCTATTACTATTATTTATAGGCGTATATTTATATCTCTATTATTAATTTACTTACTTATTACTATTTAGGCCGTTTATTAATTTTATTTTTTTAACTACCTAATTCTTGTGTTTATACGTACTTATTAAGTAAGAAAAGAAAAAAAAAATTAATTTATTTAGCCTTTTACCCGCGCTTTTAAACCTTCTTTTTTTTCCTTTTTTTATACTTACTACTATAAGTTAGTTTATTAAATTAATATAAATAGCTTATTTTTTTATTACTTAACTTGCTTATTACGCTTTACGTATTCTTATTTACTTACGATATATTACTTATTATATCCTTATTAATTACTATACCTCCCCGTAGTTAACTTAGAAGAGGTAGTAAAAGTAGTAAGCGTAAAAAGTATACGCGTTACTTTACTAGAGCTTAGTTTTAGGCTAAGTATAACGAGTCCCTCTTTATTAAGTAGTAGTAGTAATAGCTATATAATAAGGAGCTTAAGTATAAGGAGCCTAAGTATAAGGAGCCGGAGCTTAAGTTAGAGGCTATATAAATTAACCTTGCGCTATTACCTCCCCTAGAGACCCCTTTTACTCGTTAGGTAAATATTATAATTACTCTTCTTATTTATTTTAATATTATCTAATTAACTTATTATATTAGAATACTCTAATTATTAAGGTTATTAATTATAATTAGTATATTATTACCTTGGTTATTAATAACCCTGGCTTTTTTTTTAAGGCTTATTACGTTAATAATATTGCTCTTGAGAATACTCCGGATTAGTGCTTTATTATTAATAATAATAGTACCCTTACCCTTTTTAATAATAATACTTTTTTTAAAAAGATTAAAAAGGGTAATAAAAAGGCTATTGTTAAGAAAGTTAATAACCCTATAGTTATTATTAGTATAGTATACGCTCTTATTAATATTCTTAAGGAAACTCGTACTATATTATATAATAAGTTAGATCTAGAGTATTGCTAAAACTAGCTCTTTTTTTATAATAATAAGTTTATTATAAACGCTATTTATAAAGTATTTAAAAACTATACTTTATTATTTAAGGAGGTTATTGAGCTCTGTAAACTATATGCTACTTAGTACTGTAATTTTTAGTATAAGTTCCTTTTTATTTACTTTTTTAATTAATATAATCGCTTTTTTAATAATTATACTAAGGTCTTTGAGCTATACCCTAAGCTTAATAATCCGAATAATAATACTAGCGCTTATTAAATTATATATAACTTATTACTTAGCTAGCTAAGTAAGATTATTTTTATTACTATTTAGCGTTTTATTAAGTCCTTTGTTAATTACGAAGTTATTTTTTTTAATTAGTAATCCTTATTTTATTATTTTATTTGTATTATTTTTATTACCTTAGCTCTTATAATATTTAAATATATTAATTATAAAAAGGAGCTTAATAAGGATCTTTTTAAAAGTAAAAAGCGTATTATAGATAAGAACTTCTGTACTAAGATCTGTAATATTTATAAAGGCCTTGTTATTATAAAGTACTTTATGAATATTAATAAGGAGCTTTTTATTTAGAAAAAAAGAGACTTTATTATAAGTGGTCGTACTTTGGGTATTAAGCGTTATGCTTACCGCTATATATAGGATAATAAAGCTCCCCCGCTGCCCCTTATTAATTATATTACTTAAGCTCCTATTTTTAGTTTTTATTTGCCTAGGCTTACTCTTAGTTCTTTTATTTTAAATATTAGTATTAAAAGTAGTCGTTTTTTTATATTTAACTTTATTAGTAATATTACGTAGACCGAGCTATATAATCTTTTTATTAATACTATTAGTAGCTTTAGTTATAACTTTAAAATAGATAATATTTATAATACTTACGAGTCGGCCGATAAGTTTAATATTATTACTATAATTAGTACTTTACTTAGCTCTCTTTTTACGTAATATAGCGCTCGCTATAGTTAATCCGCTATATATATATTTATTTAAATACTTAGCTATTTCTATTTTTTTTAATATTGATACGGTATTAATAATATTATATAAGTTCGACCCTCTCGTTTCGGTATAAAAAGACTAGTACGGCTTATTATTAGTATAACGGATATATAATAAGAAAATATAGAGGTTATAAGAGGGAGGAAGAGAGGGATAATATATTAGTATATAAACTTAGGTTTAAGGGTTACGAAGTAGGCTATTATAAAGGAAAATAAGTAATATACTATTTAAATAGTATATAGTCCTTTATTTAGAGGCGGGTCGGCGCTATTTATAGCCCGTTTCTTAGAGATATATTAAGTATAGGTAACCGATTTAACTTTAATTATATATATATATATATATTAATTATAAAAACTAACTATACGATATTTATTTTAGTAACGTATAAATTTATTAATATACTAACTATATAATAGCTCTTTTTATCTAGCTTCTTAATAATCCTCGCTATTTATTTTTTTTTCGTAACTTATATGGCCGTAAATAAGCTTTATATAATACTTTATATAGTATGTTATACTCTGCTAGCCCTTTTACTTGTAGTTTTCTAGTTTTAGTACTCTAAACGGGCGGGTAGGTATTAGGTTTTATAATAAGTCTCTCTGCTATATCTATCTTATTAATCTTGCGATATTTATAAGTATATATATATTATATATTATATATTATGTTAAAAATATATATTATATTAAATAGGATATTATTTTTTTTCTTATTAAGTATAATACCTTTTTATTAAACTAAATTATAGTATATTAGTTATACTAATCTTTTTTATTTAGACTACTTATTTGCTTATTATAGCTTTTGATAGTAGCGATAACCCGAGCCCCTTATTTATTATTATTATTGATATTATAGTTAAGCGCTACGCTTTTTAGGGTATTAAAGTTAGAGGATCTGGCTTATAGGTTAATAGGGTTTGAATAATTATTATATAATAGTTAGAGACTAAATAAGCTAGCCGAGGCCTTATGCTAGAGTTTAGTCCGAGCCCGGAGCTATTATAGCTTATTAGTTAGGCGGAGTTTAAAAAGGATAATATTATTATTGCGGTAATAGTAAATATACGTTTTTTTTAGTTCTTTTTTATTAATAGTAAATAATTAATTAAAAATCTGTTTTTTTTTAGCCCGAGCCCGGTAACGAGGAGTATATCGACTTAGTAAGTATATAACTAGAGTAATAATAGTAGTATTAATAATAGTACTAATAGCGTAAAGAGTTCCCTAAGTAGTAATAATAGTAGTATTAATAGCAAGAGGAGATTACTAAAGGCCCTAAAGGGTAATAGTAATATTATAATAGCTACTTATCGATAATACTAGTATTATAATAATTTTGAGAAAAATACTATAGGTTATAATAATATAAGGAAAGCGTTTATAGTATTCGAATTAATATAATACCTATTATTAATTATACGTTTTTGCTTAATATTACCTTTACTTAGATTTATATAGGAGGAATATAACCTATTTATAACTCCTAAAACTCCTGATAACTGTGTAGCGACGGTAACCTGGGTAGTAACTGTTGTATATGTAGCTACTACCGTTGAGAGTAATTCGAGTATTATGGGGGAAGTAACCTGCCCCCTCCTCCCGGTAAGGTAAGACGGGCGCTCAATTAAAGGTGCTAGATAAATCTGGGTTGAAGTTATGCCACATACCCACGTTGTGGAAGTTGGTGCTACTGAGATTCATCGACCCTGGAAAACTACCCTCTGAGAAGTATGTGCTACAATTCACTGACATGTATGTCTAGTTTCTTCCTGCTCAGGTGTCTGCGGTCAAACCCCACCTGGCGCATACTCCCTTAAGGCCTTCGCCATCGGGCCAAAGGCCGCCCCCTCAAGCACCGTCTCACTCGTCCTCCAGCCAAGCGACCACGGCAGCCTTTCCTCCACGAAACTAGCATTGATCCAATCCCTTCTCGCCTTTCCATCCTCGACACTTCCTCCAAGCGCGGCAAGAAGACCACTCATCTGCTCAACTGTAGCCGCGACACCAGCGGCATCAAGCACAAACTCGGGATTCTCCTTCCTCGCATCCTCGAGTCTCGCAGCACCAGCCTCAGCAGCTTGCTTCCAAGTAACGAACTCGTCAGGTAGTCTAGCCACGAAAGAATCCCAAATCGTCCTATTGAATCGCAGGTTATCACCCAGCGCTAGGTCTCCGCGACTCAAGCTTCCGTCGTGATCCAGTGGCTTTTGCGCCAGGTCGTCGAGGTGGAAAGTCCCGTTCACACCCGTGGCGGAGTATTTCAGCGCCGCAGGGACGGGGCCTGCAGACACAGCGCGGGAGAAGTTGAAGGCTTGCATCTGAGCTACCGTGGCACTTTCACTTGAGATGAAGGCGCCGTCGCGGTTGATGTAGCCGTGATTGGCGAGGATATTAAGGGCTGGGCATGGTGAGCGGCGGTCGGTTGAGGCTGGGGCTATGTATGGGTGCTCTGCGTGCTCGAACTGCGCGTTTGCAATGGCGGCTAATAAGGCTAGAGCCACATATGAAAAGGTCTGATGACGCATGATGGCTTGTATTATTTGCTGTTGAGAGCAGCAGATAACAAAGAACAGATGTGAAGGAGAAGGCCGGGAGAAAAAAATCAATGATTTCACGCAGCAGATAATTCAATTGATGCTCTCGATAGTCAAAGCTTCAGAGCTCCATTGGAAGACTGAGTTACCTTCTGCCTCCTGTACTTATATTCTTCCTTTGTCATGAACGGTGAGGCATAATTCTTCAACACTACTGAGAAACCTTGCAAATGGGGTCTCCAAGCCAGCTAGCCGGCGTCCGTAATGAGAAATACGGGAAGCGGCATTGGCCGAATGATTTCTTGAAGGCTCAATAGAGTTTCGATTTAATCTCGGGTGAGTATTCCTGGTGCTCGGCGGCTCCGGCATACCACGGTCCTATAATTGAGTTTCGGTGACCCTGCAATGCGGCTTTCGACATCCCGGGTCCCACAGCCGGGCCGCATTCTCACCGCTATCTTTCTACATCACTATAAGATCCTTCTTGACACCCCAAGTGCTCGAATGTAGCCGTGAAATATTTTGTCACATCATCGCCAAACAATTCGTAAACCGGTAAGTCACTCTATATCCAACGAAACCTGGCTATAGTTCGTATGACGAACGAACGGCTTCACATATTCCTCGGGGTGTGTATCACAATTCTCCTAGTTTCCTGAGGCCTGAAAGAAAAGACGGTAAAAGCCGTCAATCTAGAATCAGCGATTCGCGTGGTTTTTTAATCATGTGATGTCGCCTATCCAAGAGAATTCTATGAGATCTGGACAGCTCGGCAGAAGGGAATCGGAAGACTGTCTGCAGTGTTCGCTCGGAGACCAGCCACTACCATTACCCGGAAAACATACTATAGGGTTTCTCTATAATGTATTATTCCACATCTGAGTGCAATAGCTTATGGGTGACAAATATAGTCAAATAGAATGAAGCCTTAAGTTTCGGGCGATTCCCCGTAGAGCTACTCGACCATCCATTCGGGTGTCATCTTCTTTGCAATATCACGAGAACACTGCACTCCATCATCGTCAACGTACACCGTTGCTTCTCTGAGACCGAGGTCTGTGAGATGATCTTGGACGTCCTTCTTGGACGTCCTTCTTCGTCATCTCGCTCCTCGCGACAACAGCCTCAAATCTCTTTCCGAACTCTTTCACCTGATACCCGCGTTCAATCTCATCGTCTTTGAATGGTGGGAACCCAGAAGCAAACTTCTGAGAAGTGGCTTACATAAGTGAACCGAATCTTCAGGGGTGACCTCCATAAAAGGTTTAGACGGGTCGTAGAAGTAGCTCGTTAATCCAACAATGCAAGCCTTGGGCTCGTCGTGGATTCTACGACTAGTATCCAAAAGCCTCATAAGATTCTCGGACTCTTTTGCTGAGCTGAATCTCAAAGTGCGATACCTAGCAGCTATTGAAGCAACCAAGTCAGACGCCGATAGAACAACGTAGATAGTCCACCGAGACTGAGACAGAGGAACCGGGAGGCGATCGATGTAAAACAACTACCCATATCCAGGGTCGAAAGAAAGTGTGATCAAAATCCTTTGTTGGAAGTTTGCATTGTGGTGTGCGAAGCATTCCAAAGCGTGTAAAAAGAGCGCCGCGTTTCGCAACTTTCGATTCTCGACGCGATTTACATTTTGTAATGTTTGAAAACGGCGTCTTAAACATATTTGAGAACGTTGCTCCCACATGTTTTCGATCTGGATCAGCCCCATGCTCGAGAAGCTTAGAAATCAATGGGCTACTCATGAACGGGGTATTTCTTTAAGACAGCGATGAACCTCTCAGGCCGAAACGCCTTTCTGCACGAGTAGTGATGTGTCAGGCCTCGCCGGTTAAGGGATAGCTTAAGGGGCATTAGGAGGAGGAGGACCAAGCAACAAAGGAGCAGCTCAGACATATATAGAGCGCTGAGAGTACACCTCGAGGGAAGGGCAGATTTCAGTAATTCATCTTCTAGACCCTAACAGCAGTTGGCCTCTGTGAGCTTCTTCCCTGTGTCATACACCTATTGACATAATGCTTTTCACTCCCTTGTTGTCGTCTACATTAATTTCAAGTATTTCATGCCTAGCCCTTAAACGATGTTCGCAATTCTAGCTTCATGTCCTGAGCTGTGTCTTCTACCGATTCGTCACCCGCACCACTAATAAATGATAATTCATCATTCTGCGTCATCTTTTCGTCAGGTGGGAGCGTGGGAAGTACCTTTAGGGAAAGGTTTTGCAAGTTCATGTCCTATAGAGTAGTGAGACCCTGTGATATCTGAAGTACTATTCTTTGGAATAGACTTTTCACGGATATAGATTGTAGGGCTTACGTTATAAACCTCAGCCAAGATGTAGTGACAGCGAAGAAATGCTGGGTCGGGCAGGTTCTCGTCACCATTGTGCGCACTAAACTGAACTGTGGGAGGCAGGATTCTTCTGAGATAGAACCGTTCGGCGGAACCAAACCATTGGATGGCATATTGATTCTAAGTCAGTTAGACACATAGATGTTTCGAATTGCAGCTCATTAAGGAACTTACTTGGACGCCTGTGGACTTGAAAGCCACCTTCAGCTTTCTAAATTGTTTATGCAGCGTGTCCATCAACGTCATAACATTTGGAAGCTGGTTTATGCTTTCAGAAGCAATTGCTCCTTGAAGGTCGGTGAAATATCGATGATACGCGAGCCAAATTGTGGCAATATTCACCGTCTACAGCATAGTGTAAGCATTCTGGTCACCCCATTTGTACAGGGATACTTACTTGGATATAACTACCGTTGGTAGTGGAGAGAGAGTAAGGAATGCAATGTGCACAATTAGTGCTGCATATCTTTCCCTGAGAAGGCTCCTCCCATGTATCAGACCAGTATTGGCTGACCATGCACTTCCCGCCGTCCCTCTTTAGACACTCGTTTCTCAGTGTCGCATCTCTCGGTACTGTTTCAACTTCGTGCAGAATGCTTTGTATCTCAGTCTGGGTGTCTTCATCCACCGGTTGGGAGATGAGTCCCTTTGCTCTTCCACGAGCGAGCACTGTTAGGTCAGTTATTAATTTGAACACGTATCATGTAGATGATTTGTTACTCACTAGGCTTAAGCAGCGCGTCGATTAAATGGTTTCTGAGAGCACGGAGGTTGTCTGGCTCATTTTGGTATAAACAAACCTCCGCCGCAAGAGTGGTGAGGCCGTTTCCCTCGAGCCGACGTAAGAAAATCTTCAACACGTGGCTGGTATCGTCGGACGGATCGCTTGGGACGTATGCATCGCAAGTGTCAAGCGCTACTGTTACTCCTAGTCGAGCCACCGAGTCGTCTCCGAGAGTTGAAAGCCTTTCCTCTATCAGGGCTCCATCAAGCTCGGGATGTTCTGAGACTGACATCGTGAATGACGACTGCTTTCCCTTAGACTGGATGGTTCCAAATGTGTCTGTCGTTGAAAAGAATTTCAGGAGGCTACGTCGACTGATGACGTCGGCACATAGTTACGTACCTCTCATGGGTGCAGAACCAGCAAGGTGCGCAACTTTTCGAGGTTCTCTCACCAGGAAGGTGCGCAACTTCTCGAGGTTCTCTCACCAGGAAGGTGCGCAACTTCTCGAGGTTCTCTCACCAGGAAGGTGCGCAACTTCTCCAGGTTCTCGAACTTAGCTGAAACTTTGACAAACTTATCATAGCCTGATTATCGAGATGCGCAAATTTCGACATTTTGAACGGTACACAGGTTGTGTATGATCCCTAGGAGTCTCAATACGCCGTCTTCGGGGCTCACTTCATCCATACCATCTAAATTGAAACATATGGGACGATTGTAGTGCTGAATGGTGTTGAAGAAGAGCGTTTAGAGTTCCTTGGCAGTCCAATCTGTCCCAGAGTCCTTCCGTCCAGATGCTGAAATACTGCTCATAGATCAGTCCAGAGCCGTCAAGTCATCTGTAAGAAGTTGATGCAGCAGCGAGCAGAACGTTCCCCTGATGCTCTGATGCATGAGGTTTCCAGGTCGCCAGAAAAAGGTGTGACACTATAGACACGCCAAGGCACCACACTTCGAGAGCGCTTCTAGTCCGCAAGTCGGTTATGATATATCTCATCAGCGTAGATTTCCCCAAGCCGGGTTTTCCACTGGACAAAAAGATTGGGCTAACAGATTTGAGCCAGTTGATGGAAGAGATCCGGTGATTACTCGAATCCTGGGCCACGGAAGTGCGCTTCGTGGCCTCATCAGCGGTCCCGTCAGGGGCATCATCTTGAGAATCTTCAATTCTCTTGGAGCGTTTGGCCCCTGTGTCTTTATTTCCTGGTACGCTACTCGAATCTTCGAGAGATCCCATGCCGTCTGCAAATATCCATTGGTAGGTACCTCCACATGGTTCGACCACGTGGCTCTGGCGTTTGTTCATGTCCGGGAATTTGAATCTCCCAAGGAAACGTCGACGTTTTTCATCTCGATCTCTATTTAGAATCAACGCTGCGATATCAGCAGAGTGTTTCTGGTCCGAGTCCCGGATGTTTGATCAAGTCTCGTAGATTGCTGTCGCAGCAACATCAGATCAAGGTGCATGGCGTCGGTCTTTTGGCTGTTCAAGTTAGCTGACTACGTGGCCGACGGGGATTTCAGGCTCCACGGTCTTACCAAATTCGCGCAAGAAGGCCGCTCTGCATTAATCTCTAGGCGTCATTGAGCTTCCTCTCCAAGTTATTGAGTCGTCTCTTTCGCCAGTTTGCCTTGGGGGCCACTTTGATTGTGGCAGCAAGATTCCCCTTCTTTTTGTGGCCGAGAATGAAAGCATTCTCCTCTGCCAAATCTCTCGCAACGGCTTAGCACTTTTTCGCGATTTCCAGCAATTGGTCTTCTTGCTTGGTCGGGAGCTGTGGAACTTCCAGAGCCTGAATATGCGCTGCAAGTTGAGCGAGTTCCTTTGCGTTCACCTCGAGGGCATCGTCGACGGTAGCATCTCGGTAGACTTGTTTAATTAGGCTGGCTGTGTCTCGACCGAGGCTGATGACTTGGAAAATGTTGCCTGCCACGCCGAGGGCTTCAAGACCTGACATGTTGGCGGTGATCTAGCGGAATTCCTCGGGCCAGACTAGGCGATCTGTGCGTCTGACTGAGCTTTGGGATAGTCAGATGACGTTGTCAGGACGGCGAAGAGAGAGATAAAGGAGACGAGGCAGAAAGTCTGTCATCACAACTAAGCGGAGGGGTAGATGCTGCCCTTTTGTGTAGCCTGCATGAAACAGCCGCACTCGGTGGTACAAGCCACCAGATTGGTGACAACCAGATATGAGGTAGCGAATTATGAATGAATGGGATCCCTCGCGGGTTGCCTAATGCCTAAGACACATTAGGGACCAAGCATTAAGCTGAATCAAAGTGGTAACTACCCAGCTCGCTCTGGTCCGCTCAACACAATTCTGCCTTGCTCGTCTTCACCGTCATCAAGAAAAGCATGTGCACTAGTGGATTATCGAAAGATGGATATATGAGTTGGCTCATTGCCGCTCAGTAAGGTAGTTAAATCATTTCAACGTTCCTGTGTCTCATTGAACGCTTGTGCAGAAACTTGAAAATAGTGAACTTCGGTTGCTGATACGAAGTCTGTCTTCAGATTCCGCACTGCAAATACTGAGAGACATATCAATTCAAATACAAGGACAGACATCTTTCGATATCTACACAATAAGAAAAGATTTTTGAAATACCAAAGCCAATGGGATATTTAACATCACCGCACGGCAATCGGCATAACTTTCTCGCATAGACGTTGAGAAAGTTTCAGCATAAACCAGATGAAGATGAGTGCGGCGAAGAGCAACTTTTGATGATGACGTACTACTGGTATTCTATAAGAATGCCGACTTGGTCGCTACATCTTTTTCAAGTATTCAAGAGCACCAAGCTGCGTCTCGGGAATAAGTTCCTGCCAGCAAGATCTCTGTTGCAAGTGACTTCAGACTAGAAAGTAATCCTCAAGCAGGGTTACAGTGACAACGTATAATATCAGCTGGGGGGAAATATGGGAATACTCAAGCCATGAATACCAACTTACTTCGAGACTGTACCCAACAACGGTGTGCCGAGCGAGAAGTGATGCTTCAAGTATTAGCTGTACACTCACACGCCATGTAACCTCATCCAAACCCATTCATCCGTTCCATCTCCATTCAACCAAACCAGCCCTTGAAAAATCAACATCGCTAGCTAAATCGCCATAAACACATCACCGCATCCCCATTGTCATCACCATCAGGCTCAAAAAGGAAGATGCCAAGATCCCTCCAAGCCCTTGCATCTTTCGCCACTTTTAACCGACGACTACCGGCAGTAAAACGGGAGCCGGGGAACGGACCCGAACCAGAAGTGTTGGGTAAACACGGCAAGGTAAAGCAGTTAGACCAAAAAGCGCCACCCGACAAATAAAAGCTGCAGGTGAGCCGATTCAGGAAAGTCAAGCTCGCTGTTGGCATCGTCATTGAGCTGCAGTGTCACTGAGAGCACTTACGGCAGGGCCTCTTGGAAGGTGTCACGGGATCGCAGAGGATGCACGCAGATCGGTTAGTTCAATTGGCAACTCCTCTGATCTTCACATTTCTGCGACAAGTAGATTGAGTAAGACCGGACTACTCTAAGTATTGATTGGGAACTGATTTACAGAAAATTGGTTATTCTAGCTCCTGAGAGTGGCGGGAAAGAATCTGCACCGGACACTAACAAACACCAACCCCGCAATCGAGAATCGACCATGACAGAAGCGTGTTGCTAGCCCGACGGCCACACAAAGGGAGCTTCTGTAGTGTCAAACCCTCGCCTGGGACTTGGAAGTCGGTGCATACTCGCGCGTGACCTGATTCTTTGTAGATAATGCTCGTGCTGGCGAGGCTGTGTAAAAAGGAGAGAAGCACCGCACAACACCGGTCCAACCACTCGGTTTGCCCACTTGCCCGCATGTCGATTGTGGAACCTGAGAAATCCTTAACGGGGAACTTTGCAGCCATCGAGTGCCCAAAAGCTTTCTGCGGCTCTGAGGCGAAAGCACGGCCATTGAATGGTAGCAAAAGAATCGGGTGGCTGATCCTTCGACCTGTGCGCTTCTAGCTGGCAGGTGACAAGCCACGAGGGAATTCGATTGGCTTGATGCTTAATAGCTCAGTTCTTCTGCAATTGAGCACCTCAACTTGGCGCGCTGCGGCGCTTTCATGGCGGCTACCCCAGATCTGCATTGTCTCAATGATCGAACCAGTCATCACGACAAAGAGAACCTCAACCCCGCGAGTAGAGAGACGGTGAAGTTGGAGGATGGGTGGGATTGGCGGGAGGCAAAGGTTAGATACCATAGCGGCACTTGGATGGAGGGCTACGTAGCGGTGCGGCACTGCGGAAGGCCAACGGAGCCGGCCGCCGGTCGAGATCAGTCCATACCAAAGGTGTTAGTCAAAAGCTCCCATTAGTCGGCAGGTTGGTGACAGGTCAGTGACGACGACGACAAGTTCCGAGGTTCGATGGCGGTGGTGCCGGACAGGGGTCGAGCTCGGACCTGGGCACAGCTGCACCTGACTACCACGCTAGAATCCGGTGGTTTGGATCCATTTACACTGCCTATCGGTCGTTAGCTTTGGCAACCAAGAGGACGGGCATTTGGAATGGGGGAAGAGGCAACGATCGTGCGTGCACGGCGCCAGCATCATCAGTCAACACCAAAGACGCGGGTCGGCGTTGCCACTCAAGGGCCCTGCGACTCACGTGTCCCGAGAACTCGGGATGGGCTGGGAATGGCCTGGTTGCTGGGATGGACGTGCAGCGTACCGCAGCCTGTGCTTTTCTTGTGTTCATGACGGCCCCGTGCGAGCAAAACAGCGGATGAACCTCAGGCCTGGATCGAGACACCACGTGACGAACATCGTGTGAGGTTCACGGTTCACGGTTCACGGTTCGGGCTGTGTTGGCAAGTCTTCAGCAGAGATCTTGGGGGTAATTTTTCCTTGGAAGTGCCCACCAGGGGTAGCAGGGGTGTTTAATGATAGGTTCTCCGCAGTGGAGAGAGAATCTGGACCTTCGTGGTTTTGCTGGAGAGAAAAATCCTTCCGAGCGGAGACCGACACCGTGCCCGCGTCCGGAGACCCCGTGGAGTGACAGAGTTTGCGGTGCGGTGACAATCAGTCGGTCTATTGGTACCGGTCTGGCGGTTTGTACGCTTCTTCGTATCTGTAGTTCAAGTTCGAGACGAACGGTGCGTCAGAGATCAGGCGGCCGGCGAAAACGCGGTCGTTTTACCAGTTTCCCACGGGGAAGAACAAAGAGGAGCCCTGGAGAAGAAGCACGAGGGCGGTGGGCTGGGGAAAAGAATCGAGACCAAGCCCAAACTCGGCCGGAAGCCGAGGCGATGAAGCACTGAAGCAGGCAGGGCAAGGCGACGCGCCAGTGTTGACAGGCCGCTGTCGTGATTTCGGGCATGGTTGAATGGGGCCGTCATCAAAGACGGGCCGATATCACGGCCGTGACAGGTAAAAGTAAGCACCTGGGTACGGAGGCCGACCAGGGATGGCTCGGAAGGCACCCACTGGCGAACAGGCGCCGGGGGGGGGGGGGGGGAGCCCAAGTCTGGAGCGCCGGGGATGGAAAACTTGTTGGTCATTCGGACTTTGGGCCCTCTTAACAGCAACGCGCGCTGACTCGGGTGGGGTGGTGGTACGACGTGACTCTTTCGATTATAGGCGGTGACTTCGTAAGGACGGCTGTTGTGTACGGCTCATTGAACGAGGAGCGCGAAGCCCCGAAAGCACCCGCGGAATCAGACGAGCAAGCGCGCGATCTGGCGGAAGCAACGTCGTGATTGGGTACCGGCTTCGTGAAGCTGGAGATATGGGGTTGCTTGGAGACCCCGATATCTCCAGGCGGAGAGAAAGAGAGACAGACGGCGTCTGAAAGTGCATGTGAGGCGATCCACAACGGACAGGAACTCGGCCAAACTGGACACCAAGACGAAGTGTCTGCCATAGTAGACTCCGAATAGGGAGATCTATAGGTAGTTAGCGCATCGAGTACCACCGAGCATTGTCCCATTTGGGGCCGGGGCCGGGGGATTGGAGGAGAGATGATGGGGAAACTTGGGGGAAGGAAAAAAATAAGTTGGATGGGAATGGGGAGAAGTTGGGGGAGGGCGTGAAAGTGCGGGATGAAGATGGGATGGATTGAATGGGGTTGCATCCATCTCATGCAGTCCGGATAGCGAGATGCAGCAGCTAGCAAAGCTACTGTAGTTGTAGGTTTTGGCGAGGTTGAATGGCCCGAATAGCTTCAAATAACCGTCTAAGCCAGTTCGATTGTAGGTGTTGAAGCCTGAAGATGGCTTAGTTGAACCGAGAACAGTCAAGCGAGCTTCACACAAAAGCGTCGAGAGCTCTATCGTAAGGCGTTGTAGCTTGTGGTATCCACGGATAGGGAGAGACGTGTTGGAGGGCTGCAGGAGAGCATGCGGGAGAGCCCTTGGGGCTCCAACGTTGCGGCTTGAACTAGGGTCGCCCTTAGGATCGGAATCCATACCTACTTGTTCGTACAGCGAGCGTACCGGCCGACATGTGCCCATCCCATCACGAACGAATGACCTGGCGGATGTCGGCGGCTGAAGAGACATGGCGCTGAGCCAGATGATCCGTCGAACGACGACAGTGGAGATGTTTGGCCAGGGAGCGGCAAGGGAAGAAAAGCCACACGGGCGCCTCGTGTCTCGATTGCTGACAGTTAGAGACCGCAATGCTGCCGTGATGTCTGAGTCCAGCCGCAGATTCACCACCCAATCTCAGCGCATCGCATCGTGTCGCAAAGCATCGCCAGTCACGGGGGGGGGGGCCTGTCGCAGAGGCACAGTTACCTAAGGTAGGTAGTAGAGAAGGGCGCGCCAGAGTCGGACGCAGGCCGCCTGCGTGAACGAATTAGTGATGCATCATCCAATTGCCTGACTGAAAGACGCGCCGACGTGGAAGGCTGCGAGCAAGTCAAGGCAAGACATTGGCAATTCCTTACGAAGACTTTCTTCCTTCTCGGAAGGATGACG